TTTGTTAATTTTATCAGTTCTTTCAAAAAACCGGCATTTGGGTTTATATATCTTTTCTTTTTGTTTGTTTTCTATTCCTTAATTTCAGTTTTTCTTTTTATTTGATTGGTTTTATTGTTCTTTTCCTTAAGGTGAATACAGTCTTTTATGCACATCTTCTTTAATAATGAAGCCGTATAAAGCTAAAATCTTTTCCAATTTTAGTTTTGACTGAGCCTTCTATTGAAGTTTGCTTTTAATTTTTTTCTTTGATTCAGTGCTTATTAACACTACAATGCTTAATTCCAAGGATCTTAATTCAAGAAGCTAGAATTTTTTCTAGTCACATTTCTATGAGAATGTGTCCTATAAAATGTTTCTTATTTTTAATGTGTTTTCTTTGAAGTCAAGTACAACATTGAATCTCATAAAGGCTCTATGGACATATGAAAGATTAATTGTACAATTGACCCTTGAACAATGTGGGGATAGGGACACCATCCCCCACACAGTCAAAAATCCATGTATAGGGGGGCAAGGGCAACATACGTAACCTAAACATCTGTACCCCCATAATATGCTGAAATAAAAAAAATAAAAAATAAATAAATAAATAATGTGCATAATTAGCCTACAAAAAAAAAATTCATGTATAACTTTCGATTCCCCTAAAACTTAACTACTAATAGCCTACTGTTGACTGGAAGCCTTACTGATAACATAAACAGTTGATTAACACATATTTTATATGTTATATGCATTATATACTGTATTCCTACAATAAAGCAAGCTAGAGAAAAGAAAATGTGATTAAGAAAATCATAAACAAGAGAAAATATATTTACTATTCATTAAATGGAAGTGGATCATCATAAAGGTCTTCATCCTCATTATCTTCATGTTGAATAGCCTGAGGAGGAGGAGGAAGAGAAGGTGTTGGTCTTGTTGTCTCAGAGGTGGCAGAGGCAGAAGAAAATTTATGCATAAGTGGACCTGAGCATTTCAAACCCATGTTGTTCAAGGGTCAACTATATTCTCTATTTGTAGTATACAAAGTTCTTCACATATATATCTATTAAATCAAGTTTATTGGTTGTATATTCAATTTTTTCCATATTTTTTCTATTATATATGTCTAAGTATATGTGTCATATATTGCTGTGTAACAAATTACCCCAATACTTAGTGGCTAAAACTATAAACATTTAGTATCTCACAGTTTTTGTGGGTCAAAAATTTGGGTGCAGCTTAGCTAGGTGGTTTTGACCTAGGGTCTCTCAGGGGTGGTAGTCAAACTGTTGACTAGGGCTGCAGTCATCTAAAAGGTCAACTGGGGCTGGAGGACCCATTTCTAAGATGACTAACTCACATGGTTCTAGAGGCACAGCATTTCAGTTCTACACTGGCTGTTGGCAGAACAGCCAACATGGGCTTCTCCACAAGGCTGCCTGAATATTCTCATCACATAGCAGCTGGCTTTCCCTAAAGCGAGTGATCCAAGAGTAAGAGCAGGCAGGAAGTTGCACTATCTTTTATAAGTTAGTCTCTAAAGTTGCACATTATCACTTCTGCTTTTTTTTTTCTATTCATTAGAAGCAATTCACCAAGTCTAGGCCATACTCAAGGGGAGGCAAATTAGGCTTTACCTTTTAAAGGGAGTGTCAGGAATTTATGGACATTATTTTAAACCAATAATTCAATCAGAATAATGTGCTATGTATTTTTAAACAATTTCTTCTTACATTTATAGTAATTAAATATATGAAGCAAAACTTGCTCTTTCATTTATTGACTACAAGTTCATGAAGTATATCTTTTTCATAAAGTACCTTTTATTATGACATAATATTGTTCTGTGATCCTTTTTTTTTTTTTTGAGACAAAGTCTCACTGTGTTGCCCAGGCTAGAGTGCCGTGGCGTCAGCCTAGCTCACAGCAACCTCAAACTCCTGGGCGATCCTCCTGCCTCAGCCTCCTGAGTAGCTGGGACTACAGGCATGCGCCACCATGCCCAGCTAATTTTTTTCTATGTATTTTTCGTTGTCCAATTAATTTCTTTCTATTTTTAGTAGAGACAGGGTCTCGCTCTTGCTCAGGCTGATTTCGAACTCCTGAGCTCAAACGATCCGCCTGCCTCGGCTTCCCAGAGTGCTAGGATTACAGGCGTGAGCCACCGCACCCGGCCTGTGATCCTTTTTATCACTTTATTCTTAAATTCTACTTTGTCTAGTATTAATATTTCCATTCTCGCTTTCTCTTTGTTGCATTTACCTTGTTTTCAGCCTCCTCTTATCTACTTTTTTCATGTGTATTTCTCATGAACAATATATACCTGAGTTTTATGTTTTAACACAGTCTGGCAATCTTGGTATTTTAATGGGAAAATTTAACCCATTTACATTTAGTATAACAACAGGTATATTTGAAAAATTTTCCTTCTCCTTTGCTATTTCACTTTGTTTCATCCTTTTCCCTTTGCCATTTTGGTAGTTTTCTTTCTTATTGTTGTTTTATTTAGAATTTTTACTGTGTTTTTCTGTTCACTAGTGGTTACCTTCTCATTCTTGACGTTTCTAATAAATAATGTATGTGTGTATTTCTCATATTCCTATAACTTTATTCTTCCTCCATGATCCTCTCTCTCCCCCAATAAGATAACTATTTTCACACTTTCCATGTTCCCCATTCAGATAAGATTTATAGCGTATTTTATTTTTCTCCTCTCACCTTTCTGGCAAACCCTAGCTATTGCTCATGCCATAATTTTAGTTCTTGACTGTTATTAGGTTTTCCTTTAGTATATCTCTTCTATTTCTAGAATCCTTGCTTGGTACTTAAATGTAAGTTCCATATTATCGTATTGATTTATGTTTAATTATATGTTGCAAGGTTCATTGTTCACATTTGTATTCTTTCCTCTTGGTCTTTCCCTGGCTTGAAGATCTTTTATTGTTACTATTGTTATTTAGTTAGAGTATTTCCTTGAGTGTTTTCCTCTATGGGACATGTGGATGCTATCTTCTCTGAATGCAAGCTCCTTGAATGCAGGAACTTTGTATTATTTACCTCTGTGTTCCTACCACTCAAAACTGTGCCTGGTACATAACGAGCAATCAGTATATGTTCGCTGTTTTTGTGGTATTAGATTACTACATAATCCCATATGTCTTTCTTCCAGCCTGAACATTTATGTTGTTCATGATATTTAATCCCTTGCTCACGTGCAGATATTTTTCTATCACCCTGAGAAGTTAATGTCTTGACCAATATAGAATTCTTGGTTCATAGTCCTTTTTTTCTCTTTAATTTGTAGATTTTATTCTACTATCCCCTACCTCCCAACTACTGCAGATGAGAAGTCTGATGTTAGGCTGATTTTTGCTCCCTTTGTTCTTTCTGTCTGGCCTTTTCTAAGACTTTTTACCAGATAATAGGAATTCCCTCCATCTCCATCAATTGTGCATAGAAGTCATGAGTTCTTTCAAACTTCAGACTGAAGTCTCTTTTTAACCAGAGAAAATTTCCTCTCTTATTTTTGTAATTATTGCCTCTTCTCCATCTGTTCCTTTTTCCCTATTCTGGAATGCTTATTATTGGCATATTAGGTCTCTTGGCTGTTACTTATACTTCATGATTTCCATCATTTTGCTTTTTGCTCCGTGTAAGAGATTTTTCATCTGCTTGCTCTTTCAAGTCAGTAATGCATTTTTTCTACCATTCTTTCTTTTAGTTAGCTTTAATCCATTGATGTTTTAAATTTGAATAGCATATTCTTAATGCCAAGAATTGTTAACTTTTTGCTCTTTATTTTATGCTTCACTTATTATTATTTAAAAAATAAAGTGGTACTCTGTTTTCTCCAGCAGCCCTGTTTCTTTAGGGGCCATCTGCTTTAGCAGATCTGATTGGTCTGTCTCTCTCTGGTTGCTGGATCCTCTTAAGTACTAGCTTATTTCAATTTTCTATTTTCTGCTTAAGCTAGGTTAAGCCTTTCCATAGTTGGCAGCACAACATTTTCTACTCCTGGATCAAGAGTATGAAAGGAACTCTCTGTGTTTCTAGGTGCTCCTAAATGCAAATTTTCCTGTTCTTTTAGCTTCAGGGATGTGGAAGTTTTCTTTTACTTTTTCTGGTAAGATTCAACATTTTAACTCCCCCCAACCAGGACCACGCACATGCCCTGAGGCAGAGCCACCCCCTTAATCAAGTGTCCACAGGTCTCCTCAGGCCTAGTTCTTCCATGTTCTCACCTCAGGGCTCTCTCCTGCTGCTCCTCTAGCCCCCTTCGGACCTGGACATCCAACACAGTCTATAGCCTTTGACACCCCTCAGGCTCCTCCAGCTTACTCATCCCAGACAGCTGAAGCTGGGGGAAGGAAAAGTATCAAAGATCAGAGATGCAGAATCCTTCCCCTTTTCTTGAAGTTTTGATGAGCAATAGCCTATAATTTTGCAGCTGGTTTATACTATCTGAGCCCAATGCGAATAAGGTTACATGAATTCATATATAAGAAAATGTAAATATTGAAATCTTAGAATTAGAAATAACATGGAGGTCATAATAAAATGAATCTCTTGCTTTATAGTTTTTATGCAATTTTGTACACATAGTCTCACTTGAGTTCCAAAATAGTCCTGTATGGTAAGTATGGAAGTTATCGTCCCCATTTTACAGATGAGAAAGCTATAGGGCATAAAGGTTAAATAACTTGCCCCAGGACACATGGGTAAAAGTGGAGCTGGACTAGAGAATTAGTCTTCTTATTATGTCACTGCTTGTTTGTTTGCTATCAATTGCCTTCAGAACATGTTATATTACATAAGTGATTTCTAGAATCCCTAAGTTATATGTTATAACCTGTAATATATTTTTTCAACTGTTTCTATTATACTAATATGAACAATTTAACATGTATATAAATAGTATGATGTTGACTATAAAGTAATAAGATTGTCTTATATAATTTGAAATCTAACAAAAGAATTTGAAAATAGTTTGAAAAAGATTAATATATCAGAATATGTATTATTATTTCATGAAGGTAACTTTTTTGAAGGAAAACATGTATTTTGCTTCGTGAGTACTTAAATTTTTCTTTTCTTGATGTGTTTTTAAAACATTTGGATTTGGCCAGACATAGTGGCTCATGCCTGTAATCCCAGTGCTTTGGGAGGCCAAGGTGGGAGGATTGCTTGAGGCCTGGAGTTTGAGACCAGCCTGGGCAATATACCAAGACCCCATCTCTACAAAAATTAAAAAATAATTAGCCAGCATGATGACACACACCTGTAGACCCAGCTACTCAGGAGGCTGAGGTGGGAGGATCACTTGAGCCCAGGAGTTGGAGGTTGCAGTGAGCTATAATCATGCCAATGTACTCCAGCCTGGGTGACAGAGCAAGACTCTGTCTATAAAAAAGTAAAATAAAATAAATTGGATTTGTCTTACTGTGCAATAGAAGCCATGCAATAGGGAAATCAGGCATGACATTGAGAAAATATAACCGTGTTACATTTGTTTGTTTTGTTTTAGAGTTTCGTAGTGTAGGACTAAACAAATTAATAGCTATTATAAAGACCAGACCTTTGTCCTGATCTTAGCTCCTTTGTGTGTTAACACTATGTTTAAAAGTATTGTCTTATACTCAAGAGTGATATTAAAAATATTTAGGAAGTAATATGTCCTGGTCAGTGATCAATACACGCCAGCTACACACACCTGGTGTTGTATCAATGTGCTGGCAGTATATCAGCCCTGAGCACAGTCGCATTGCGTAGCTTCTTTCACTTGCCTGGGTACTTTCATATCCATTCTCTCAGGTGAACTGAGGAGGGTTATAGTGTCATCCCCTTTTTGCAAATTGAGGGAATCACGGCCCCAATAAGTTAAACATGGGGCCCTTAGAATAAAAGATTTCTGGCTCTTAGTTTAGTGTTCTTCCTTAAGTAGAAGTTTCCCTCTTTTCAGAGGAGAAGGAAGAGATGAGAGTAGCTATTTTTGATAGGACAAATATCAGCTCCTTTCAGAGAGAACTCATAATAGGTGGTGGGTAGAATGAGCAACCGCCCCTCCCCCCTGAAATCTTCCTGTCCCAAGCTAATTCTTCACTTCCAGGTCCCTTGCAGAAGAAGCCTGCCCTAGAAGAGTGAAACTGACTCAAGCAAGTGAGCAGATTTTTCCCAATGGAAGAATCTGGCTCAGCCTCTTCTCTCCATATTCACAGGAACATTATACACAAAGCCTTACTTCAAAAGTACATTCTTTTAATTGTTTTTTTTGTCTTTCCTCCTTCCACAGAATGGTATCCCCTCACACAACAACCTATATATCTTTAACGGTGATTTTGTAGATCGAGGAAAAAATTCCATGGAGGTCCTGATGACCTTGTTTGTGAGTTTCCTCACCTGTCCCGATTACGTGCACTTGAACAGAGGGAACCATGAAGATTCTATGATGAATCTGAGGTAACCCAGGCCTTTAGATTTCTTCTTTGTTTCCCACGCTGGAAAATGCTGCCATGTTTAGTTCCTAGTAGAGAGTTAGAGGGGAGGGTAGAGAAGGCAAGATGAGGGGAATCTCAAGGAAAACCTCACTGCTTACCCCTATCCACCCTTCCATCTTCTATTGAGTATCCGTTGTTCTGAAGCTCCCTTCCCATCTTCCAGTTCTATTCTTCCTTCTTCCTTCTGTTATGTTCTTTCTCTTGCTTCATGCCCACCCTTCACAGGCCAAATTGTGTGTTGGGTAGTTGTGTTAGGCCAGGTTTGGAGGTGTGTTAGGTTCTATGAGCAGACTTGCATGGAATCGTTCTGTTGCTACTCTTGGCTTGCCTCAGATGTTGTCTCAGAAACTACTACCATGTTTTTCACTGATGTGTGTATTTTTTTATGGCATGGTAATTGCTTCTGGCATAGTTGTTCATAAACATTTGAGAACAGCTGTAACATAGCATTTCAACTATCTGACTCACTGGAAATTCGAGAAATGAAGATTGGTTAGATGGTTTAAGAATTTTTGCTGAAAGGCACAGTAGGTAACAAATGTTCTTTTTTCCCTTCTTTCTTCTTTTTCTTTTCTTTTTAAAAATCCTTTATTTTATAAAAAATAGAAATCAATTCGCTGTAGGGCAGTAGGATGTTAAGAAAATCATGCTTTTGATCCTTGCCTTTGGGTGCCTTAATCAAAGCTCAGCAACTGATTAGTTTTGCCTTTTGGACAGTTTTGGTACCTGGCCTGAGTACAGAGTTTCAATTCTGATTCTCAAGATGTGGAAACAAATGCTAAGACTACAAAGGAAAAAAATCCCAGGACTATTATCAGAGGCTCATTTATATATTATATAGCTCAATACTTTGATTTGGACATGCCATTTGTCCTTTCATTTCAGTTGGCCAGTCATATTTATCTAGTGCCTATAATGATTCATGAAAGAGACATGACTCCTGTCCTCATAGTTTACATCTAGCAGGGAAGACATATATTGAGGAGGTTTTTCAAGTGCAATGAGTGTGAACAGGGAGTCCAACCTGGTCTGAGGTATGATGGAAGGTTCTCCCATAGAAGTATAGTGTTAGCCTGAGTCCTAAAGGATGAATTGGGTAATCAAGAGAGAGCCATTGTGGGGGGATGGGAAACAGTGTTCCACCATGAGGAGACAATTTATGCAGCACTTAAGACAAGGCTTTTTACACTTGAAAGAAGTTCAGGAGGGCAGGAGCATAGACTGAGGGACAGGATGGTGCCGGATAGGGCTGGGGACATAAGAAATGGTTGGATGGTGCAAAGGAATTTGGACTTTCTTCTAAGGACAACAGAATATCATTGAAGTGTATTAAAAAGTTTGTGTTTTAAAATGTGGCAGGAAGACTGAGCTGGAGCGGAGCAAGAGTGGATATAGGGAGGTTGATTAGGAAATAGCTGAAGAGATAGATAATGGATTCTCACTTAGACTAGGGTGGTGGCAATGGAGATGCACAGAAATAGATTAGGGAGGAGTTTAGGCAATGACGATTTAAGGCTCAGTAACTTGATATGGGGGAGTTGAAAGAGGAGGGAATCAAGGATGACCTCCATGTTCCTTGTTTGAGTTTGGGGGTACAGTAGCATCATTCACTGATAGGAAGAGTGGTTGGGATGAGGGAAAATGATGAGTTCAGCTTGTGCTAAGCTGATTTAAGGTGCTTTTGAGGAGGCAGTTGAGTATGTGTGTCCAGAGATCAGAAATGAATGTGGCCTAGAACATAGTCCTGTGATATTGACACTAGATAATAACTGAAGCCCTGGGCAGGGACGAGACTGCTAAGGGAGAATGTGAAGGGAGAAGAGGGCCTAGGACAGAATCTGAAGGAACTCCAGCATTTAAGCCTAGGTAGAGGATAACTGGCAAAGAAGATTCAGAATAGCCAGAAAGGCGGAAGAAAACCAAGAGAGTTTACTGTAACAGAATCCAAGAGAAGAAAAAATTTCCAGAAGGACAGTAAAATCAACTGTATTTAGTATATCAGAGAGGGTGAGAAAGGTGAGGACTGCAAGATGTCCATTGGATTTAGCAAAATGGATACCTTTGGCGAGGACGGAATTAGTCTCAGAAAACATGTTACACTGTGGAAGCCTGACATGATTTTCATGGAAACCTGGAGTGAGTGTGTTGTGTGTACTTCACAGTGTTGGGTCTTAAGGGTACATACTATTATCCTAAAGCAAGGAAAAGTAATTGAAAAACATTTTCATCATCAAATCTCCCTTAGCTATTGCTACTCAGGCTTTAAAATTCCGGACACTTTCTATTAAAACCCTCAATACCATTACATGACCTGTATCAGAGAGAGCATAAAGAACCAGCTTATTATCTTCTAGGGTTTATCTTCTAGTCATTTCTTTTTTCCAATCATTTACTATAAGATATAGGATGTCTGAGAAATTCTATCTAAATGAAAAGCCTCCCTCACAGCTACCACAGCACACTTCTCTGAATACTTGCAGCATTTTCGCAACCTATCACATACTTCTTAAGTGGTCTTGTAATTGTTTCATGAAAATCTGTCTTCTTTCCCCAACTATACTATAAGATCCTTGAGGGTAGGGACAATGTTGTTGGTTGTTTTTGTTCTTTTCAGTCATACCTAGCAAAGACTCGAGTAAGTCATAGTTCCAACTGAAGTCTAGTTTCTTGAGTTCTTGGTACTTGGAATAGTGAGATGTCAAGGGCTCCCCTTTTTACATGACTCATGTAAGTAGGAATTATTAACAATAATTAAACAGTTTCAATCCCACTGTTTTTTTTCAGATATGGCTTCACAAAAGAAATTTTGCATAAATATAAGGTAAGACTCATACTTTTTTTTTGTTTTTTTTAGCATTCTCTATGCTGTTTATACATAGAAGTAAAAAAAGAGCCAATAAAGATGAAACTAATGCTTTAGGAAAGGTGATATGTCAATTAGTCACAATCCATGCCAATAAAATAAAAGCACAGCAGAATACTCTGGCCATGGTAGACTCTTAGATTTTTTTTGTCTGGACTAACCCAGGCTTTTTCATTGTGACTTTTGTGTAAGCTTTAGTGTATATATAAACATATTCCATTACTTTAAAGGTACCTCGGCTTTATTTTACTCAGGTATGGTAAGACACACAGACACAGAAATGACTGTCATGAGGGAAAAGTTTTCTATTCACAGTTCCTTAGAAATAGGAGGCACTGCATGCCAAACTGGGAGGAGCTCTTGGGGAAGTACCGGAGTAGGTCAGAAGGCTGAGGGATCAGGGGAGCCTTTATTGTGCCTTTCTTGGGAGGCAATGAGTGAGGCACCTCAGTGTCATCAGGTTTGGGATTGACTAAGATGAGCAATTTCAGCCTGCTCTGGGGTATAAGGTTGCCCCCAGTTGTCTGGTACCTGGCTCTTAAATTTTTTTAAAAAAAAAATTCATGTTGAGAGTGGAAAAATGAGGAAACGTTAGCATTTCATATAGTTTCTAAAAGTGAAAAATCTTGATTTTTAAAAATTAAAATCTCAATTAATTCATTTATATTATAGTCAAAGATATATAACATAAAATTTACCACTGACACCACTGGGGTGATTAGGGCAGAGGAATAGTGGCCCCTAGTGTGAGAGCTCTTAAAGGAGGTGGTTGGGGGTTGGGCTCTGGATTGGCTGGTTTGCATATGAAGGGCAGTCATTCACTGTCTCTAGGAATTAGCTAGACCTGGGAGGGGCAGTCTTTCCTCCGGAAGTAGCAATGCCCCAAGATGTCATAGTATCAAAAATATGAAATAAAAAGACATGATTAATACATGCTAGTTGGTTAGTGACTCCTTGCTGACTTCCTTTGAGTGGCATGAAAACTGTTGCGTTTTGTCCATTAATGGGGATTATTCAATAAACTGAACCTCTAAGAAAAACAAAACTTAACTCAAGTTCTTACTTACAGATATATGGAGCACAAATCTTAAAAACCTTAGAAGAAGTCTATACCTGGCTCCCAATTGGTACGATCATTGACAATGAAATCCTGGTTGTACATGGTGGGATATCAGAGTCCACAGACTTGAATTTGCTCCAACGTATAGACAGACACAAAGTAAGAAGTAATGTTGGCATGAATCTTGTCTCAGAGATTTATAAGGGAATGTGTATCTCTTTTCATTTATTATATTGAATTGAGTTGTGTTTTAGTGGTTGTTGTAACTCTGAAAAGATTAGTACAAATTTTAGGAAAATCTATGATTACATGATAAAGGACTATATGGGTAACTTCGATATATCAAAAATATTTTTTAAAAAATTCATGTTGAGAGTGGAAAAATAAGGAAACGTTAGCATTTCATATAGTTTCGAAAAGTGAAAAATCTTGATTTTTAAAAATTAAAATCTCATTTCATTTATATTATGGTCAAAGATGTATAACATAAAATTTACCACTGACACCATTTTGAAGTATATAGTTGAGTGGTATTAACTATATTCACATTGTTGTGCAACTATCACCTCTATCACCACCATCCATCTCCAAAACTTTTTCATCTTTCCTAAACTGAAACTCTCTACCCATTAAACACTAACTCCCCATTCTCCCTCTCCCTCCAGCCTCTGGCAACCACCATTCTACTTTCTGTCTCTATGAATTTGATTACTCTAGATACCTTATATAAGTGAAACCATGTAGTAATTTATTTCTGAATTGATATGATTTCCCTTATAATATACTTCAAATGGCTCAGGATAATTTTTTTGAAATACTTTAACCCTAAATAATCATATTAAATATAATAAAAGCAGAGCAGGAACCTGTGTAAAACCTCTGAGGGAAGTGTCCATGTGGTGCCTGTAAAGATTCCACACCTAGTAAAGGGCTCCTTGGACGGGCCTTACAGGGTCTCTGGAGTTGTCTTCCTCCTCTCCTTGAGCGAAGGTAAAGCCCCCAGACTAGAGATTTAGGGGGTGCCACATGGGTGTGAGGACCAATAGCAGCTGAGAAACCAGATGGTATACAGTCCTAGTGGGAAACCTGGACCGTTACCCTTCAGGACTGATAATCAACTTCCAAGCAATCTGGGCAGATGGGATCTAGAGCTGGAATTCAATCTGCTAGAGACATAAATGTGACCCCTTGTTGCACCTTGAGTTTTTAGAGCCTTTATACACATATGAATGATAATATTGGTGCTAACGTCTTCTCATCCTTTTAATTTCAGCTTAAATATGACCTCCAGACTAGATCAGATCCCCCTTTACATGCTGTCAAGCCCCTTGTACATATCCTTCATAATAGTTACCAAAATTAAATAAGGAATCATGGCACTGTTTACTATCTTCCTCTGCTTCTCTAGTGCACTGATAAAATCTCAGCACCTGAGATGTAGTACGTACTTAGTATTTGTTGAATATCTCCTAAGAGATTTAAGACAAAAGCAGGACAAACCTAAGACAAAACCAGATAGAAACTTTCTTACAACCCCTTTCTTATTCTGTGGTGATTTTACATAGCTCCCTCCCCCACCTCACTGAGCAATGACCACACTTCCTGGTTTACCCCTGTTGTTCTGGTGTAATTGCTAATAGTGCCTATTTAACTCTCAAAAATATCCAAGTTGCAGTAAATTTTAAGGCCATCCTAAGTTTAGGGTACCTTTTTCATGATATCAGTGAATAGTCAAGTCAATAAGACGTTTTGATCAAGATGAGATAGTATTAACACAGTAAGTGGATATGATTTTTAGCCAAGAGCAAGAGAACATGTTTTCGTTAGTCAAATATTGGCAAGCATGTGGCATGAATGCTACAGTCCACCACCACGCACCCTATGACTACAGTGCTGATCAGCCATGGCAGCCACTACCAATTGATCAGATTGAAAACTTTTGCTTTCTTGAGGTTAGCCTGAGCAGCCAGCCCTATTTAGGGCATTTGGAGACATTGAGAACATGGTTCTGGAATGTCCTTTTCTAGCTCTGTGGAGACCCTAAGTTGAAAGCTACCTCGACATAGTAAAAGACTGTAAGGCTCTGACAGATTTAGATCTAGGTTTACATCCTGACTCTGCCATTTCTGGCTGGGTGACTGGACAAAGTTTTCTAATCCTCAGTTTCCATACCTTTAAATTGAAGACAAAAATACCTACCATATTGGATTGTTGGGAGGATTAAATATAATTACCTAGGTGAAGAAATGGCATATATTAATAGTAAGTACTAAACATATAGCTTTCTTCTCCAGCTCTCTCTTCTTTTTTCCTGATACTTGGATCTGAGGTTTGAATTTCAGTTATCAAGACAGACTCTGGGGAGAAGGTTGTGGGCCTGTGATTTTCCCAGGATACCTCAAATTTCACTTCCTTCAGGGATCACTGTTCAGCCTGCTCATAAGACTGATTTTAAAGATAGAAATTTGACTTCTATATTGTTTGTGTCTTCTACCCCTCCTAGAGTGACATTGAACTGGCAGCACATACTTGTTGTATGAAATATGATTGAACTGTAGTGAATGTGGTAGGTTCAAGCCTTTGGAACTCTATCAGATGAGATACAAAAGTAGCTTTTCAAGTCTGATTTTATAACCCCTACTTTCCCCATCCCATAGGACCCTCCAAATCTCCAGGGTAGGAATGACCATACTTCTTGGTTTACACTTGTTGTTGTAGAATCATTGTTAATAGGGCAGCAGGAGGGTTGGGGGGACCTGATGACGACCTCCATTCTAGGTTCATTAAAGGTATTTTGTAAGGTGGGCAGATTGGGAGGTCAATGCAGAGGGACAGAGAAGGAAGATTCTATAAGATTAAGACCCTGGTTTAGTATTCTTCAAACTGCCCAGCAGGGCATGGCTATAGGACTCCCAGGAGAAAATGGTGGTATGGTGCCTTAGGCAGTGCTAGGGCAAAGTATCCCATTCCCAAGTGGCCTCGAAACCTGTAGAGCCACACATAACTTAAAGACCATGTGGCCTTGCCAAATGAGTTTATCAGAAGTGAGTTGTGTGGATCCAAGTCCAGAGGATCCTCCCAGAATACTCTGCTTTATGATCTGGGGGCATTTGCTGGCAGTAGACAGGGAAGGTAGGCTGTGAACTAGATAATAATAGCTGAGATTGAATTTCCAACTAGCTCAATGAGATAGGACCTCAGAAGAAGATTCAATTTAATTTTGAAAAATAAAAGTAAGATTTCATATACACCCTAGTTTGTAGAAGAAACTAAGTGTCTACCACAGAGAATTGTCAATCATTGAATTATGGCTACCCATGTAGCAAAGGTATTGTTTAAAATTGTTTTGTATAAAGGTATGATGCTACAAAGAAACAAGTATAAAATTACAGTCTCAGATTATGTGAGGGAACATAGAAGGGATTATAATAGTTGACACGCTATCAGAAAGACAATTTGTTTTCCAAAGAAATATAGCAGCTTTGTTGCTAGGATTAGGAATATATTCAATTGCTGGCAGGGTGAGGTTGAGAACTACACTGCATTTAGGTTGAAGGGCTTCCAAAGTTTTCAACCTATGTCCCCTTCGAGAACTTTCCTGGACACAGATGTGATTTTTCTCATTTCTCCTGGAAAACACAACAAAATGAAAAGGAGCCACCCTCTGAAGAGGTGTTTCTGAACTCCTCAATGCTCCAGGTGTAGATAAAGACTCAGAGGGAGACTAGTTTTTCCTACACTTAGCATCTTCCATTTCCTGTGTTGATGTCTCAGAACATGTCTAACAGCTACATCTGTACGTCTGGGATCTCTTCGAAACTCTAATGGGAATCTTCCCTTGTAGGGCCGTGTCTGTAGTTGAAACATGTACAAACAGAATTTAGCAGGCCCATTTTATAGACATCGGCAGATCGACGAGATGTAGGAGGTGGGTGAGATGGAAAAGGTGACCATTGGGTTGAGGCACAATATAGAAAGAATCCCAACTGGTGTTAAAGTCTCTGCATGCAGCACAATAAGCAGAGGGCTTGGCTAAAGCATGAATTTGTTTTACAGATGAGTTCCGTGCTGATACCACCAGTAGAAATTAGAGACCAAGCCACCAAATCAAAAGAAAATAAAACTGGTGAATCTGCTACTACGCCTGAGAGATCCAAAGCAAATGCATCCTCTTCTGATCATTTATCAAAGCATGAATGGGAACAGGTAGGTAATCAAAGTATTCACCAGAGTGGTAACAAAGATACCAGCATACATGATATTATAATATATAGATAAAAAATGACTTTACCCTTATAAGCAGATCATATCATTCTCTCTGAATTTTATCACTATATTTTAAAAGGTTTATTGAGATATAATTCATACACCATATAACTCACCCGATTAAAACACAAAATTCAGTGGTTTTTTAGTATATTCATTGTATTGTACAACTGTCACCATAATCTAATTTTAGAATATTTTCATCGTCCAAAAAAGAAACAGCATACCTATTAGCAGTCACTCCCATCCCGTCCAGCTCTTCCAACCAACCCAGCCTTAGGTGACCACTAATCTACTTTTTACAGATTTTCCTATTCTGAACATGTTATAGAAATGGACACGTACAATACGTGGTCTTTTGTATCTGGCTTCTTTCACTCAGCACAATGTTCTTGAGGTCCATGCATGCTGTAGCATGTCTTAGTACTTCATTTCTTTTTATTCATTTAATGCTGCCATGAATAGTCACAAGTTTTTGCGTGCATGTATGTTTTCATTTCTCTTGGGTGTGTACCTAGTAGTGGAAGTATTGGGTCATAAGGTAACTCTAAATAAAGTTTAACATTTTGAGAAAGTTCCAAACTGTTTTCCCAAGTGGCTACACCATTTTACATTTCCATCAGTAATGTATGAAGGTTCCACTTTCTCTACATTCTTGCTAACACTTGGCTATTGTTTATCCTTTTGGTTATAGCCATTATGGAGGGCATGAGGTGGAATCTCATTGTGGTTTTGATTTGCATTTCCCTAACGACTAATGATATTGAGCATCTCTTCATGTGCTTATGGGATATCTGTAGATCTTCTCTGGAGAAGTGTCTATTCAGATCCTTTGCCCATTTTAAAAATTATTTATCTTTGTATTATTGCATCATAAGAGATTTTTATGCATTCTAAATACAAACCCCTTATGAGATATATTATTTGCAAATATTCTCTCCCATTCTGTGGATTGTCTTTTTCTTTTCTTGGTGGTGACCTTTGCAGCACAACAGTTTTTAATTTTGATGAAACTCAATCAAAATTATGTATTTTTCTCTGGTTGCTTGTGTTTTTGGTCTTATATCTAAGCCATTGCCTAACCCAAAGTCATGAAGATTAATCACTTTGTTTTCTTCTAAGAGTTTTAGAGGTTTAGCTCTTACATTTAGATGTCTGATCCATTTTGAGTTATTCTTTGTGTGTAGTGTGAGGTAGGATTCCAAATTCATTCTATTTCATGTGGCTATTCAGTTATCCCCATAGCATGTCTTCAAATGATTATTCCCTCCTCACTGAATTTTCTTGGCACTCTTGTCAAAAATCAATTGACCATAAATATAAGGGTTTATTTCTAAACTCTTAACCCTGTTTCACCATCTATATATTTATCCTTATGTCAGTGCTATACATTTTGATTACTATAGCTTTGTAGGAAGTTTTGAAATTGAGAAGTATGAGTTCTCCAACTTGTTCTTTTTCAAGATTGTTTTGGCTATTTTGAGTCCCTTGAATTTCCATACAAATTTTAGGATCAATTTTAAATTTCTACCAAAACCAACTGGGATATTGGTATGGATTGCCTTGAATCTGTAGATCAATTCGAGTACTATGGCTATTTTAACAATATTATATCTTCAATCCTGTGGGCATGGGATGTCTTTCCATTTATTTAGCTCTTTAATTTCAGCAGTGTTTTGTACTTTTCAGTGTACACGTCTTACACTTGTTCAGTTTATTCCTGTTTTTGATGCTGTTGTAAATGGAATTATTTTCTTAATTACATTTTGGGTTGTTTATTGCTAGTGTATAGAAATACAACTGACTTTTATATAGTTACTTCATGCTGTGAACTTTGATAAATTTTGATAGTTCTAATAGTTTTTGGTGGATTCCTTGAGATTTACCATATACAAGATGATGTTATCTATGAATAGAGATAATTTTACTTCTTTCCTAAACTCGCTGCTTTTTCTTTTCTTTTTCCTTAATTGCCTTGTCTAGAACCTCCAGTACAGTGTTGAATAAAAGTGGTGAAAGTAGACATCCTTATCTCATTCGTGACATTGGGTGTGCCTAGTTTGTTGAGTGTTTTTATCATGAAAGAGTGTTGGATTTTGTCAAATGTTTTTTCTGCATATATTAAAATGATCATGTGGGTTTTGTCCTTTATTAATATGGTGTATTATTAATACATTGATTTTAGATTTTAAGCCAACCTTACATTCCTGGAGTAAATCCCACTTGGTCATGGTGTATAATCTACTTTATATGTTGCTGGATTCAGTTTGCTAGTATTTTTGGGGAATTTTTGCATCTATCTCTCTATTTATTTATATATATATTTTTAGAGGCAAGGTCTTACTCTGTCACCCAGGCTGGAGTGCAGTGTCACAATCATAGCTCACTGTAACCTTGAACTGCTTAGGCTCAGGTGATCCTCCCACCTCACCCTCCCACGTAGCTAGGACTATAGGCACATGCCACCAT